AAACAGTATGAAAAACAAGGAAGGTAAAGAGATTTTCATTTTTGCTTGAAATTCATGCTTTGTAAATCAATTGTAATATGTGATTTTGTTTGTGATAGCAAGAATCTATAAGGATTCAAGGGACCCGAGGCATACATGTAGGTAGATCTTGGAATGCATGGTGATTTTGGAGCTAAATAAGTAATGGGTAAGTGTTTTAGTCTTGAAATCATAAGTAGAAAGGAAAAATGAGATGTATATTAATTGACTATGTTTGTGGCAGCAAAGGTGACCTTAGATGTGAGGAAGTTGTGAATCATATTTGAAAATTCAAGCTCAAACCGAGAGGTAAGCATGCAAAGTGACTATATTGTATTGCATAAGCTTTGGTTGGTTAAAGTGTATGGATTGTGTGATAAATGTTTGTGAGTAATGTGATCAAAACTATGAGATTTGGTTAAGGATTATTGGTTAATATGCTGCCATTTGTGTGTATAATTAAATGTATTGGATTTGAATGATTGCTAGGAAGAGTATAAGTAAAGTAACCGTGGTGACATGCCGGAGAAGGTAACGAGTGACCGGAAAGTAGAAATTAGCTATGTGCACTTGAATCAATAGCGACGTAGCGTCCCGCTATTATGAGGTAAGTAGAGGGTGTCTATTTTAAAAATTCCTATAATTATGTAAATATATATTTATACGTGTTAATTTATTTTAAATGCAAAATTTATAGAAAGCATGAGCTGGTAGATATTCTAGGAGTTTGTGGATGTCAAAGTATTTGAAATTTGCTTTGATCATATATATATATATAAGTTATATACGTAAAGGATTTTAAAATTGAGAAACAAGCTTTTTACCATAATTTCTATCAAAGTGTGCCTTATTGATTGTGTGATGTGCATTCATGAATGAATTTCATACTCACCATGCTGATTTGACATCTAATCCTCATGCAAAAGGTTTACAATGTAAAGTCTTACAAAAAAGAGATTTTATCATGTTATTATGATCGCATTTTGAAAATGATTTGAAATGATTCTTTGAAAGCCCAATTTGGCTTTTAAATGGTTTTACCAAACTAGGAGATTCGAGAGTAGGCAGGTTGTCACTTCGGTTAAGTGTGACCCTTGTGTACAAGTAAGCTCTAACTAGAGAATCTATGGGTCGCTGATGGGTTGTTAGCCATGGATGGGGCCATGGTCTGTGATTGTACTTGGCTAGGCCAAAAGTTGTGATAGCAGTTGCGACCACCTAATTTCTCCAATTTCAGCCAACATCGTTGAGACTGCCATGGCATGTAGGGATCCGGTGAAGTAAAGTTCCCAAATGTTATTACATGGAAGTGGGTCCACTTGTTCTTTATTTCTATTCCTACTCTAGAATGATATCTTTTTGGGTTTTCACATACGTAGTTTTCACATGGTGAGAAGTAACGATTTTTTCGCAGTTCCCCTACTTATAAGATGACATTGGATTTAACTCCTCGTGTATGAGGTGATTTATGAATTTGCATATAAGCTTTGTTAATGTTGGATTTTACGAGAGCATGTGTGATGATACTAAATTGCTTTAAGCTGTTTGTTATATGTTCGGCAGCAGGGATCTTTACATGTATTAGTTTGATATATGATTCAAATGATTATCTTGAATTAACTTTCTAGTTTTGCAAATAAAGCACAAACCTCCCTTTTTGAGTTAAATTGTTTGCATATATCCTTATATTTTTAACATTCAAATCTTCTGCCTTTAGCTTGTTTCTTATCTACGTTCTACTCACGGAGTTGATGATCAC